TGAATATATTCATTTTTTATAACATTAAAATACACAGCGAGTCTCCAGAAAATTTATCCGTTAAACCGAGAGATCCGCAAAAGCGAAACTTATGATCAAATCATGTGATACAAATTAAACATCAAATAAATATTAAAAAATAACAATAGTATTAATATTATCGTTTACTCATAGATTCGTCAATTCGTCATTGTTTTGCTTCTTGGGTACTTCTATAAGAAATTTCGTTTTATCGCTGTTTTATTCGTATCATTAGAGATGTTGTTAATATTAATTACGTTATTATGATTATAAAACTAACTAGTCAAAAAAGGCAATATCGAGAGAAATTTATCATAATAATAAGTAATATGGATTTTAAAAAAATATCCATCGAGTAAAATAGGTATAGAAAATTTTGGAGTGTAATATAGCCCTTGCTTAAACATCTGGAACAACAAGCAGGTCTCCATCTTTTAGAAAGTCCTTTTGTCCACTAAATCAAAGCAAATCATAATATTAGTATGATGAACCAACGAACGAAAAAATAAATGCACACTCTTCAAATATTACACGCTACAATATTAGTTTCGTATACTGACTTAAAAGAGTATATATAAATATAATATACATATTATTTGATTAATTATTCTAGGATTGGTAGTATCGGTCAATTATAAACAAATGATTTTATTATAATAACCTTCTTTAAATCCAAAATAATAATAAAATAATAATAAATTTACATCAATTTCCTTTGCACAATCAACAACTATCTGTTGGATGTAATAAATTCTTTCTTTGGCCCTGTAAATAATAATCATTTGACAATCTATCAATTTCAACTAATATTCTAATGACATCCATCTTTTTATAAAACCACCACCATCACCAACATTTTTCTCATCAAAAATTATTAAATTATGTATTGCAATAACCGCGTAATATATTTTTAAATTTGTTAATTCAATGGTGGTATAAAGCCAATTAGTTTTTACGAACATAACTTCCAAGTTTGGGTTTAAGATCTAAACTATAGTGAAGGTAGAATTGAAGTCTGAGGAGTTGGCATTTTGATGAAGATGATAAAGTATTGGATGGCAATGATTCTTCTGATATTATAGGTTTTAAAGGTATTTTTGATGATGATTCAGATTTTGTTGTAATTGATTTGGGGAGCAAAAAAAATTTTTTTTCTATGACCATGCATGGTGTTACAGGACCCCGGGTTATTTATTTATTATATATATTAGAGAATTTGGCAGGTAAAGCAATTTTTATGTCATGTGAAATTATGAAAGAAAGTTTTGTGATTTTAAATAAATTTTCTAGACTGCTTATTATTATTGACAAAGTTTATTATTATTATATTCGGATATTATTCGAATATAATCAAATGACTAGCATCACTAATAAAATTCACGCATATGACATTTGGTCATAGCAGGTTGGTCTCTACGATAAACTTTAGCAATTTGATATCTTTTAAAATTTTGATATTGTGGCCTCATTAATTGCCAAAAAAACAAAAAAATAGAATAATTTTTAAAATAAATATTTTCATATAAACTTACAGTTAGATCATACTGTAACGAACAAAGTTCTTCGCCTTGATCTTTTAAATCAAATATCAATTTACCATCTTCACTATATTTACCAGATAAAATTTCTTTTGGCTCAAAAACTGGAGTGTCTATTGTAACTGCACCATGTTTTTTAACAATTGAAATAATATTTGATCTTTGTCATTTCTTTTTCGTTATAATCTTTAGAAAAGTTTCTAATCGGTTTTTTATATTCTACAATCAAACCTCGATAGGCCGAACCACTATAGGCCGATTTTCGCTTTATGACGATGCCAAATTGGTTAGCCAAAAACATAATTAAAATATCTTGTTAAGCCGAATTTGATATAATTTGATAAACCCCGAGCTTAAGATTCGTCTCATAATGATAAAATTCGGTTTATAACTACCTTAAAAGTAAATATCTACACATGAATAGTAATAATACTAATACTATTCAGTATCATAAACCGAATTTTGATAGGTCGATCGATTCCCAAAAGTTCGGTTTATCAAGATTTGACTGTATTATTAATTTAATTACCTTTGGTGTTTTTAAATGTAAAAAGCATGTTATTTTTACTTTTAGAACTCTCGTCAGTTAAAGAAAGATAACTGGTTCTTTAAATCAGTCAAAACTCCAGTTCTGTATCAATTAAAGTTTTATCAACATCTTGAGTTTTTAATAATCGAGTTGTTTCATCCTGTTCTTTAATTTTAAATTTTAATGTTTCATGTGTTTCATTCATAAATTGATAACTTTGTATGTTGAACATTTTGTGTGTTACATACGAAACATTAATATGAAAACATTTTTCCACTATTGCTTGCTATGGGATATTTAGATATGAAATTCTGATTGGCTAATTTTAATTTGATATAAATTTTGTAGAAATAAGATACTCGTGTAACTTCTACAAAATAATCCTCGCGACTTTTCTGATAGTATTTAAAAAAAAATGACTCTTCAAAAAGGTTAAAAAAAATTTATAATATTTTTAGCAGAAATTAAAATTTTATTTTAGTGTTAATTTTTTTTACTTATAACACAATAGATGTTTATATAGCCGCTTTTGCGAGAACTCCTCTTGGTGGTTTTAATGGATCATTAACTTCTTTTACAGCAACAAAACTTGGCTCCATTGCTGTTGAAGGTTAAAAAAATGGACAATTAATAATTATCAGCATAATATAATTGATTTTGTTAATAACTTTTTTTTAATTATTTACCAGCTGCCTTAAAAAAAGCTAACATTAGTCCCGAGCTTGTTGAAGAAGTCTTTTTTGGAAATGTTCTTTCTGCTAACCTTGGTATTAACTGCACCGAATGCATACAATTACTAATATATATGATTTTTAAATAAAAAAGTCTAAATAAATTTTTTATAAATAATATATTACTAGGTCAGAATCCAGCACGCCAAGTAGCTTTAGGTGCAGGTATCCCAGACAAAGTGATTGCCACAACAGTTAATAAAGTGTGTGCATCAGGTATGAAATCTGTAATTTTAGGTGCCCAAACCATTATCACTGGAAATGCTGATGTAAGTTAATTATTGAATATAACATTTAATAAATTTTGTATCTAGATTTTACTCAATTATATATACACATAATATGATAGATTATTGTTGCGGGTGGTACAGAATCTATGTCAAACACACCTTATTATGCCACAAAAGCAAGATTTGGTTCTAAATATGGGGATCAAACACTTGTTGATGGTATTGTAAAAGATGGCCTAACAGATGTCTATAATAGTTATCTTATGGGTGTTGCTGCTGAAGAATGTGCTAAAGATTATAGTATTACTCGTGAAGAACAAGTAAATAATGATAGTTATATTTATTGCATTAAAAATAATTTTCATTTTATTGTTTATAATGATTATAATTTTTATAATTTTTTAGGATGATTATGCTATTTATTCATATCAACGTGCACAAAAAGCATTTGCAGAAAATAAATATTCAGATGAAATTGTTCCAATAAAAGTATCTGGTGGTAGAGGTAAACCTGATAAAATAATTACACAAGATGATGAAGTTAATAATGTAAGCTAGTTTTAAATTTTTTTAAAATAAAAAATCCAGCAACACATGCTAATCATTTAAATATATCTTGTAAATGTAATAATAGTTAAATGTTGATAAACTGCGTGCTGTGAAGCCAGCATTCATTGATAATGGTAGTGTCACAGCTCCTAATTCTTCACCATTAAGTGATGGTGCAACAGCTATTGTTCTAATTAGTGGAGAGAAAGCTAAAGAGTTGGGTATTAAAGTTGTTGCAAAAATTTTAGGTTGGAGTGATGCTGCTCAGGTAAATTTATATTTAGTTGGTGGATGTTTATTTATTTATATAAATTATGATTATTTAATTAAAAATTGTTGTATAGGCACCAGCAAAATTTACAACATCACCATCAGTAGCCATACCAAAAGCTTTATCTCATGCAAAAAAATCACTTTCAGACATCGATTATTTTGAGATTAATGAAGCATTTTCTGTTGTTGCTTTAGCAAATTTAAAATTGCTTTCGCTAGATAAAGAAAAAGTCAATGTTTTTGGTGGTGCAGTTGCAATGGGTCATCCATTGGGTTGTTCAGGGGCTAGAATTATTGCAACTTTAACCAGTGTGTTGAAAGATAAAGATGGAAAAATTGGCTGCGCATCAGTTTGTAATGGTGGTGGTGGTGCTAGTGCTATAGTCATTTCATTAATTGAATAACAACTTTATCTGATATGACAAGATATTTATTTAAAATTTTAATTTATGCAATCCAAATATTTCATATTAAGAAAAACAAATGTAACTGAAACAATGTTACACATAAAGATTAAAAAATACCATTGGTGTTCTGAGAAAATTAAAAAAAGATCTGCATTTACTATTGTTTTAAACTTTAAATGCGTCATAAAAAATCAATGATCCCACTAATGAAGATAAAACATTGATTTGAAGAAGTCAAATAGTAAATAATATATTAGACTGTATAACAAAAAACCAAGTCTATGTATTAAAAACATTTAGATAAAGAGATATTATTATATTAATATTTTTATTTAGAATTTACTTAAGCATATATATATTCTTGCATCAACTTGAAATTCATTGAATATTTTGATTTTCAAATTGCGTAATGATCTTCAAGCCAATTATTGAGTGATATCTGAAAGGGAAATCATTACAAAATTTAGTCAATGAAATCGGGCAACTCGGGTAAAACACAAAATCTGCAATGGTCCATTGGGGTAACAACTGATGTCGATGTAGAAAACATGAAAGTGAGAGTTGCTTCTTCTGTTCACTCTGGAATAGTAGTTGTAGATATCAAAAAACAGGTATCAAATTTCTTAGTGAATGGTATTCCTGGCAAGTAGGGAACAATTTCCAATCCAAATGCTTTTGCATTGACAGTACATAAAACTCATTCATTAACTTTACATGACGTATCTCTCTTAGTCTCGATTCCCAAATATTTGCAGCAGGTCAAGCATATGTATCTCTAAGTCGTTGCACTGATTGGGAGAAGGTTAAAATAATGCACTTGCAAGGGAAGCATTTATTACTGATCAATCAATGGTAGCAGAATACGAACGTTTAGAAAGAATTTCTGCCAACTCGCTTCCATTTTCTGTACCTCGACAGTAATACTGTAATTGTAATAGAATTAATATTATCGTCATTGGCATGTAAAAACAAAATAAAAAATAAAAAAATTTTGTTGTTGTACGAATCACAAATCTCTCTATTTGTACTGGTCGGCTACGAAGTCACCACAAATCAAATTCTCTAGTTGTAATAATAATGACAACAAGTTCAGCTTTGCAGACTTTACTTAATTGGTCAAAAGGTGATTGATAATGTAAACAAAATTTGTTATATAAGGAACATATATATAAAATTTGATAGTTTATTTTTTTCAATTTTCAACTAAATTTATTTATATATGCATAATTATTTACGAAATAGAAAGTGGAGTTGTATCTGATGTAGAAGTTCAAGAAATACCAGATAAAGGCTTAGGTTTTGTCACTAAACAAGCTACATTGTGTGACAACAAAGTGGTGGCATTTATTCCTTTCTCACTCACAATCAGCAAAACAAAAATAAACAGATTTGCAAAAGAAAAGGCCCCAAAACTAGATGAAACTATTCAATTGTTGAAAAATAGTGGCCAAACATTAACAGAACGATTGGCAATAATATTTTATCTCCTGTATGAACGAGTTGGACGGGCTGCTTCTGGTGACCCACCATCTATATGGAAAGAATATGTGGACATATTACCACGTACATTACACACCCCATTATTTTATAATGAGTCATTGAAAACATGTCTTAATGGAACAAGTTTAAAAGCAGCAGTAGAGGCAAAACATAAAAAGCTTGAACGAGAGTATGCTTTGTTTCGTCCTTATTTTAATAATTGGACATTGTCATTACAAAACAACAATAACAATAATGTGGTAGTGGTGGATTCAGCAGTGACATTTGAGCATTATAAATGGGCCGATGGAATTTTTTGGTCAAGGATATTATCATTTGGCAGTCGTTTTGAATTTGCGCCATTGGATCAAACCCCTTATAGAACAGAATTGATGGATGATTATCATCTAGTGCCATATCTTGATTTTGCTAATCACTCATTAACACCATGTGCTCGGTGGGAACTTACAACCGAAGGTGTGGAATTGGTCTTAACAAAATTAGATTCAGATGAGCAACTTTTGCCAGAAACAGAAATTTGTATTTCATATGGTGATAAACCAAATTCAGAATTATTATTTATTCATGGTTTTACATTAAGTGATAATCCATGTTCTACTATATCTTTTAATTTACCATTTTATGAAACGGATGAATTAATACAGGCAAAACTGTTGTTCTTACAAGATCATGGTATCAAACCTTTAGTAACTTTAAAACGAAAAAAAGGAGGAACAGAGTTATCAGAATATTCCACGAAAGCTATGTGGTTATGTGTTTTGACTGAAGATTATGGTCTCAAAGTGTCAGAACCTTCAATTGATTCACCAACGATTGAGCTAATCATAAATGACAAGGTTATTGAGAATGCAGAGATGCTTGAAAGCGTTATTAATGGGATGGATTTGTTACCAGTGATTCAATTCCGAGTAGCAGATTTAATTTTAGATAATGTGATGAATCTTTTATCAAATTTTAAACAGACAAATGAATTGGTTTTAAAGTCAATGGAAAGTGGAAAAAATAGTAGAGAACTTGCGTACATTAAAATTTATAGAGAAGATGAATACAAGTTCCTGGAGTATGCTGTTGAAGATTTCACTAGCAAACGTGAATCTTTAATGAATGATGAAACAGTCCAACGTATGATAAAACAAAGATTGATTTTTTGATTCCTGTGGATATATATTTTTATACATATTACAAAACGTTAGCATTTATTTTATAAAACATGTTACAATCAGACCTCCATATAGTGCCCCTTTCTTTACCTTATGAAAATCTCTTTGTAGTCTGCCATACACATCTTTGGCTAAAAAAAAAAAATATATAGTACATGCATGACTTTATGGAAGCTTGACTGTTTGTATTTGTAATGTATGGTAATGAATGTTACTATTGTTTAGTATCATGGGAAAAAACAATTATACTATATTATAATACTAAATATCATTAGTGCGTGAAGAAGAGTACTATTTGATAAAGTATAATCAGTCATATCACATAAAATCAGTCATGAAACATTTCATGACTCGATTATGAACAGGATAATCTTGCTTGCAG